TACTCATTTGGTAGAAAATTACGCCTTCTTTAAATTTTATACTTAAAGAAAGCGTATCCCTCGTTTTTTTTAAAGTTCCTAATTATGAGCTTTCTTACGATTGTGATGTGTTCATTCGTTATACATCACATTCATCAATTTATTAATGCTGCCTATAATGTATATAGCATATTCCACATCTGTTCCAATATTTTATGAGGAATATGTGACTACCCTCAAGCCGTACTTTTCCTTAAGCAGGATGTACACAGCGCGCAGTTTGTAAACCTTGAATTCAAGTGCAGCAATCAGTAGGTTTCAGAATTATTCGGCAATTTAGAAACTTTTTAAACCTGAAAGATACCATTTCTTTCAGTATAAAATGTAAAGAAGTCGTAATTTGCTACCAAACGAGTACAAGAAATAGTTTTTCTTGCATGTTTTCTATAAAATATGTTTTAATTTATAAAGGCAGTCAAAATCAATGATAAAACGCATACTATTTAATCAGTTACTTTTTACAGTACATACGTTTTGTTAATGGTCAGAACGAAGCTCGTTAAAAAGCCCGCATCCTATCAGGACTGAAATAACTTCAGAAAAGACTACACGATAATCAGTATGACAACCTGAGTCAATTCCGATTAGCGAAAGAGTATCAATCTTTCGCATATGCCGGTATGTTGCATGAATTCTGGCGCGTACTGTATATGTAAGGAATTATTCTTTAAGCGTGCTCTTAATTCTCATGTTGATAGACACGCCCGTGATGATCAATGGTTGTAAAATGGCGGTTCAGAGGGCGTTCCTACTTTCGGCACGTCCCGTACGATTGGCTGAATTTATTTGACTTTTTATGCTGGCTGGCTAAATGACCGGTGTTGTTAGATTGTCTGTTACTTCCTCGTTCAGGATCAAAATCTACAGTTAAAATAAGATGCGTAGCGTGCGCCTTTAAGTGTTAACCAAGGTCCTGAATTGTTTTTTTTTCGACAAGAAAAGACTACCTGGGTGAGATTATAGTACTGATCAGCATTTAGCATCATCCTTAGACATTTCAGTCACAATCAGATGCCTGCATTTAAATGCGCTTCTTTACAACCATTTGCAAAAATTTTTGCAAAAAGTTTTTTCTAGAAAACATGTCGAAATATGTCGTTTTGTACTTACTCCATAGTACATTACACGTCCTTCGCATTTTCCACTCGAAAGCGTGTAGTTTTCAATGTAAGAAAAAGTTTGCAATTAAGAAACATTTAAGGCCGTGGAACGTCCGTCAAAATAGGATTCTATCTGCCCGTTTATTAATGTCCCTTATAAAGTATCCAGGCCTGGTCCTCATCTATCAAACAATTTTATGATCTTCTTATGGCGCCTTCATAGCATGAAGGAGTGCTTAATTTTCCTCAAATAGTGTATGTTCAACTTCTAGTTTAGGCATCTCTGAAGTAGTTAAAACGTCACGTCACGTTCTAAGTTATTTAGGAATTGATCAAACATTTTAAATCAGGAATTAACCATCTTTTCGAGTATAAAATGTGAGGGAGACATATTTTATCGAAAAAAATGCGTATAGCACATGACATCCTTCCTTATTTTTTTCGATAAGATATGCTTGGGTTTAGAAGAGCATTGAAAATCATTGGAAGAAATTCATACCGCTTAGGTAGCTATTTTTTGCGGGTAAGCTGGACTGGCTTGTCGTGCTGCTTCTAGAACCTAACAATTAAATGGTCGCTCTGTGTTTAACTGCTGGCTGTTGCCTTCCCGCTCACCTCCTCGTAGACTTTGTTTTTGATCTGTTACCCTCTCATCCAACTCCCTTCTAAAAGATCCCAACTGGTTACGCGCGCGCGATGGACTTATCGCATCTTCAATCTGTGACCAATTAGAAGACACCTTTTGGTGGATTTTTTAAGCGACTGGACAGAACACTGGCCGCGTCTTACAAATTCATTTATGCATAAGTATTAAGAGCGGGTCTTTGAGTGGGACTACAAATCAGTTCAAGGGATATTAAATGATACGTAAATAAATTCACAAAGTATCCTTCCTCAAGTTCAGGCCCTACACGGAGATACCGTCGACATTTCCCCTTTTTTATTAATCGAATTTACCGTTGTGCGCCTTAATCAGCGCATGTTTTCTGTTTCCATCCTATTTATTCAGAAGCCCTTGTGTTTTTCTCCCCATAGAAAACTAGTTCAAGTTCCCCCTTTGTGACTTGTCTTTTTCCATTTTTGAAGGTTGAGAATTCTCCCAAAGTAAGCGTTGTAGAGGTTCCAGGCGCAGTTTGCATACCCTTCGTTTCTGAGACCAATAAGGTCGACAGTGTCAATGCTCCTGCACTGAACGAGCTGGCTCTCACAGCCAGCAGCGGAGGCGCCGAACCAAACGTTAAATTCAACAGCACGGATGTTGAAATGCTCGAAGCTCTGTTGGCTTTTTCAAAGCCTGAGGAAGTCTTCAAGTTTCCTCCCATCTCCGCTTTCTCACTCTGTTTTACTAACCCCCTGTTAGAAAGAGCTTATCGACAACAGGTGCTTCGAATCCCTCGTCGCTCACTTCAGCTCACTCTTGCGACTCCTCGTATCTCGCCAGCGGTCAATGCTATCGCGCACTTTCTCTTCTACCTGTCCCTCCTCATTGCGTGCTTTGTTAACTTTCCTTGTCTCAAGGACGTCTCCTTTATCCCAATCACTGCCATTATCATCGCCTGTGTCGGCATTGTCGTGAATCTGGGCTTTCTCCTACTTGTCCTTGTTGATCTCTTTGCCTGGAGCTTCGGTCCTCAGACAGTTCAGTTAGCAGTGTGGAAGCAGACTGTTTTCAGGGCTCACCGTTCCGCCTTCCAGTGGTATGGGCGTAACGTTGTCGGCGCCATTCTAATTTCCTGTCCAGCGGCCTTCGTTCTTGCCAACTTTCAGGCTTGCCTCTTTTGGGCGAACCGGAGCACCGACTCGAGCAAGCCTTTTGAGGCCTTGGCAGAGTATCGTGTAATTAACGGCCTCCTCTACTGCATCATGCTGTACAGTTTCACCCTCTTTCCAAATTTCTCCTTCTGGACTAAGTCTCTGTGTGCTAGTATTGTCAGTGTGGTTGCCCTCCTGTTTATGCACTGGCCTTTTGGACCCTTTAGTCCCTGTCTTGAGCGCGCAGATCTGTTCACCTCATTCGTGTACTCGAACAAGTCGGCTCCGGTCTGGGCTGCTGCGGCTACTAGTGACCTTTTCCCCTGGGAGATGACTGTCGTCATCCTGCTGAACCTTGTCCTTGTGGTTGCCCTCAACCGAGAAATTGACATCAGCTTCCGAGCCAATTTTAATCGTGACTTTGAGGCTAGTTGTGCGAAAAAGGCCATCACGCTGGAGAAGATGCAGGGCGAATGGTTGTTAGAAAATATTATCCCCCGCTACGTGTTGACCGACCTGCGTAAAACAAACAAGTACTCCCAACATGTGAAAGATGCTGGTGTCATATTCGCTTCGATCGCAAACTTTTCCGAGTTTTATGACGAGCAGTATCATGGAGGTCAGGAGATGCTACGCGTCCTGAACGAGCTTTTTGCGGACTTCGAGCATCTGTTACACGCATCGCGTTTCAAGGATGTGGAAAAAATTAAGACTATTGCGGAGTGTTTCATGGCCGCATCGGGACTAAATGTGGTCGAACGGAGTCGTAATCATCGTCCAGATGCCCATCTCTACGCCCTCATGGACTTCGCCATCGAATTAATTAAGATTCTAGAGGACTTTAATCAGCAGATGTTCAGCTTCCATTTTGAGCTGAAAATTGGTTACAACATTGGCGAGGTCACTGCCGGCGTCATAGGAACAACAAAGCTGCTCTACGACATCTGGGGTGATGCTGTCAATGTGGCCAGTCGCATGTACTCCACCGGACAGAAGGCGCGTATACAGGTGACTGAAGAGGTCTCGCAGCGGCTTTCTTCACGCTACGACTTTGAATACCGCGGTAATGTCTTCGTCAAGGGCAAAGGCGATATGCGAACCTATCTTTTAGTTGGCCCGAAATCAGATTCCGGTTCAGTGAAGCCGGAGTCCCCACAGTCCGGCGCTTAAAACCAGTGCACCGTCCCACCACCTATTCTTCAAAAATACTTCTCACTGTTTTCCTCTCACGAATGCTACCTTTATCAAAATTAGCCGATCATCGGAATCCGCGCCCCTCCTCTCCGAATGTGGCCTCGCAGTTTGTTGGTCTATCAAACTCCTATTTCGACCTTCCTGTGAACTGGTGCACTCTTTCTAGTCTCCCTTGCCATTCTCCTTATACCTTGCTACCATGCTGTCCTTGTTATGAAGAATTATTAAAAAAAACATTTAAGAACAACCTGTTACGCATGCTTGTGCCAATTAATCTTTCAGCTGTAGCGTTCAACCTAGTTATTAACTTGTCTTCAGAAAGTCACTCTTCTGCTCGCACCGACGTGGCCAGTCATCTAGCGTTAAATTATAATCTGTCGTTGTTTTCCTCCTTCCTACTCTGTAATCATTTGCTCACGTTTTTACCAGATCGCGCGGCATTTCCTCACCCTCTCGTGTTTTTTCTCCCTGGCAATTGCCTGTCAGCACGTGATACTACTACTTTATCTTGCTTTGCTTTTATGTCTCACTCAATATTACTTTGCTGTTTGGCAAACCATGCCGTCATTATGGCTGTCTCCAGTGTTTTTTTTTCGCTTCTTCCCTCCGTGAAGAAGCGAAAAATTCTTACAGACCTGATAGTCTGCTCTTTTTAATTCTAACGAACGTGTCGTCCCATTCCCATTGTCGGTTTGTAGGCTTGTAGGACCACTCCTATAATTAGGCTGGATGTAGGGAAATCCGTCGAATTTCCTTTGATCTGCTCCTCTATTTTGCCACTAAAAGCGAAAGCTATCAAAGCTAGCATGTTTGGGAATATCCATATTATAATTTGACGCCAATCGAATAAAAGCGAGAGATGGTCGATTACAGAGCAGTAAGGAGCACTTAGATATGCAGTGAATTCGCTATAACTTAAGGAGACGACATGAAAATTCGGAAAAAAGTAACATGCTGCACCAATTACTTGTCTGGAGGGACATGTTAGCAGAAACTCCTTCTATTAATACTTCCAACTGTCCTGGGATGTATCTAGTAGTAGTTAATCTAGTAGGAGCAGCATACAGAGGGTTATGGACAACTGCAAAGGCGAAGTCCTAGCAGATGACTTATTCAGGAAAAGGAACATCGATAAAACAATTGATTGGATTAGTGACAGTACCTACGGCGGTTACTCTGTTGTATAAAAATTAGAATACGACAGAACAGCGTACAAGAATAATGGATATTCTACAGTAATAACACACAAACTGATCGCCCTCCACTGAAATACTTATTTTGCTTTCAGGACTGATCCTATTAGTTCTTGTCCCAGAAGCCTAGTTGTCGGTCCCACGCTAATTAATTTTCAAATGCTGTCGTACCATATGCATGCCTTCAGTCTGTACAGCATAAAACACAGTTGGAGTCGAGTCCTTTGCACTTGCTACCTTAATAAGAGGAAATATGATTGGAACTCATAGCTGGGCCTCATGCTACCACAGTATGGTACGCTATGGTGCATCCTTTGTCCTATCAACTGACACTGTTAGTTGCATTACTTATTATTGGTTGT